CTATGCGAAGCTTCATATTTTTGTATTTTTACAGAACACCTATGAGCTAGAGTTCATTTAGAGCAATACCGATCAGTAAAAACTCAGAAACGTTTTGTCTTAGCATTGTGTACAAACATATATTATTAAGCAGATAGCTCAGTTTTCCCCATTATCAGCCTATTTCTAGGCAAGGCAAGGCAAATTCATTGGTATAGCACAATTCAGTACAAAGATATTGCAAAGTGCTTTACATGATTAAAATATTTGAAAATAAAACAGAATCAATGCAAGTAGGAAAAATAAAAAAATAAAAAAATGCAGGAAAAAAAAGAACATTAAAGTGTTCACTAGTTCACTAGTGTTCACAATGCCAGCAAATGATGTATATGATCTCAAAAATCTTCGATGGATTCATTATTTGTGCCAATAGCAGAAAATAACTTTTGGGATTGGCATTATTATGTTTTCTAGAGTCAATATAAAGTGTAATATTCACTAAATTAATCTGATCTCTTCTAGCAGAACTTTCAAGCAATCGTCCCTCTTCTTTTTATACACAGCTTGGTCAAAAGGAGCTTTTGTGTTGAGGTTTTAGTGAATGAATTCAGCCTTTGGTGATAACAGAGTGGTAGGCATGGGTTCAAGCCAAGGTTCTGCTTTTCTGTCCCCTTTTATATACTGGTCACAGTTAGACTTCCTATTTGGTTTTCTAAGAGAAGTATCTAGATAGAGTTCAATCAATAGCGGCCGTTTGGTAGGAAAATAAGCTGACAGTCGGCAGAAGACGCTTAAAGGTGAACTAAATTTAAACTCCTGTGATGCACATGCAAATGAAATGCACTCCCTTAATACGACAGCTTGGGGATCCAGTTGATGCTGGTCAAGATTACTTTGTGCAAAGAAAATGATGGGCATTAGACACAGACCGCACTCTTTGTTGCATGCTGGGGTGAATGTGACGCTCTACTGTTGAAGATGGGATGTACACGCCTGTGATTTATCACCATTGTCACAGAGCGTGGCGGCAGAGGGAGCCTTTCCCCCATATTACCTCACATCTATTTTTACCTGCTTATTGCTTATCAGAGACGACGTAATCATGGGAGACAGAAAGAGAGAGGCATGAAATAAAAGACACTGTCTGGATTGAGTTATTCATTGGGATTCTGATCATAAAAATGTGTAGAAAATGTATAGAAATCAATTCTAAACCTGATTGAGGAATATGTAAAAGAAGAATGGAATCCTTTCTTTGCCGTTGTTATGCTGCCCAACTAGCAGCCATTTAAAGCACTGAATGAATCTCACAGCCGACGCGCCACATCAAAGATAAACCGGCTCACACAAGGAGAATCACAGTCCTGCTTTCTATTTCAATTTTAGGCAAGACTGAAAAAAATCATCTTTTCCCAGCTAACCAGATCTGCTGCTCTTTGTTCATTTTGCTGCTCTTTCATCAACATCAATGTTGCTGTTGATAATTTGGTGTAACTTTCAGGCTGCCGTTATCAGCACAGCTCAGAGCATGAAATAGTTTTTTTTTTTTCTACTTATTATTAGATAGCCTAAAATATATCAGTTTCACCTGATTATATGAGGATATGTAAGCATTTAAACCACTTTTTTCAGGCATTCATAGCTTACACAAACTTTTCTAATATTAAAGTTAGGGATATACAGAAATGCTGCCTTCTGGGAAGAGGCTTTGCAGCATTTGATGCAGGTTCTGCAACAGCTTCATCCCCACCGCCATCAGACTGATGAACTGTTGAGAAAACTCTAAATCATGTTATAACTCTGCATCACACTGATAACACTGAACCAAAAATACTGCATATTTGCACGATATATATTAAAGCTCTGAACTTCCATATCAATGCATTTTTTGCACCATGTTTTTTCTCCCACAGTGTTTACATTTGATCACTGCTGCACTTTATGGAATATAAATGTTCATTTACTGCCTGGAAAGCTGTACTAAACAAAATTTCGTTTTGTATACCATCCATGTATAAAAAATGACAGTAAAAGTTGTCTAAGTTGTAGGGAGAGTCTGTGGTCGAAACCGAAGCAATACAATGAGGAAACCAAGAAAAAACAAAAAGAAAACAATTGAAATGAATTTTGTCAACTATTAGAACCAAAGCATTTTTGGCTATGATTAATGCTAACCCAAACTAAAATACTATCTACCACTGACATTGTCTTGTCTTGTCAAAGACGTCCGCCACAGAGTGAGCACGTTCTGTATCAGTTTCCTTTTCTGTGTCTCATTCTTCTCATATTCAAAATGGTGACGGAGACGTTTGGATTTCTATGGCATAATGTTTGTGCCACTGACTTGAGTGTGCAGTGAGACCCGATATGCAGCATTTAAAATCACACATCTTTACTCACAACATGTCTGCCTCATGCTGAACTGTGCTTTCTGTGTCCTGGCTGTGCTTTTTGCTCCTGATCCTTTTTCCTCGTGCTCGTTATGCTGTTGTCACATCATCACAAGTTTCGGCCATGTTGTTTCCGTGTTAAATGTCTGTGGCTGAAAACCGAAATTGCACTTTTGAGTAGTTCTCTGCCAAAAAATGTTTCAGTAGCCAAATTTTTTATTTTTTTTTAAACAGTGTCCCGTTTGACAATGTGGCTATAAGAGTAATTGTCTTGATGCCAAAAAGAGCCCAACAGATTTACTTTTACAAGTGGAGCAGTACGGCTATCGCCATAGTGTTCTGCTTTATTTATGCATACAAAATTGCTTTATTATAATTATGCAGGGAGTTTTACAGATTATATGGACACTGCAATGTAGGTAGAACAGGAAAGGTAAAACTGAAAAAAAAGGAGAAAAGATGAAAGAAAAGGGAAATAAAAGGGAGATAATGATAAAACATTTTCAGTCTGCTTCATCACCTGAAAAGAGATGTAAAAAGAACAGCACAACCAAAAGACATGGTACGAGATATACAATAAAGTAACACCTAGATATTATTGCTGAAATATAAGTAGTATTATTTAATCAGACATGTATTCTGTGTTACCTGAAGATAAGAATGTGGCCAAACTTACGTTGCCTCCCTAATAATAGCTGCCAGTTTAGTATATCAAATCAAAAAATAAATATATATATATATATATATATATATATATATATATATATATATATATTTTTTTTTTTTAGGTGATTTCAAAGAATTCATATTTTGATTAGATCTTTTTTAGCGATTTGTGCAGTTAGCACAGGTAACATGCAGCTGTATATATTCCACAGAGTGTTAGTACTTGGTACTTGGTTGGTACCACTACGGTCATATTGCTTTTTCTGTGTTTCCATTATTAAGGTTTTTATTGAATCAGAATCAGAATCGGGTTTATTGCCACTGTTAGTGAAGGAGTTCACAACTAGGAATTTTTTATGGTACAATCGTGCAGCATGAAACATATATGAAATAGGTAAATAAAATTATAAAAATCTCTAAAAACACTGGGGTATAAGGCATGCAAAAAATATACTAATATATACACTTAGGAGGTGTATATATTATTATATATACAACTTAGACAGGTTCTGTTTTTATTACCTGCTTGATTTCTGTTCCAAATGTAAAAAACATAAGTCTGATTGTTGACGGTGATAGCATCATTGGTCATAATTAGTCTTAAGGATTATCATCTTCAGCCTTTTACATAATCTATATGGGGTTTTATTGTGTATATGAACACTGTTATAGCCAGATAGCTTTCGGTAGCATTAGCTTTAGGCCAGGGAAGTTTATTTATACAGCAAATTTTATGGCAACACGATTTAAAGTGCTGTAGGCCCTACATGAATATCCAGGAAGAAATGTAAGAAAAGTGCATTGAAGTGATATTAAGGTAATTGAATAATTAATGAACTTTAATAATTCAGTAGAACAGAAATGAAATATTATAATGATTATTAATTAGGACATTATAAGACAAAGAAATAAAGATGGATTGCAAGCTTTAATAATATTTAGATGGTAAAGTTGAAGGTCATTTTAGAACAATATGTTTTTAATCTTAATTAGAAGAAACTTTGAATTTTCTCTTAGTTTATTCTAGATAAGTGGAGCATGTTTGGTTCTGGTCTGGGCAGTTGATTCACCGACAACAAGTCTGTTATATATTTATTGCTCAACCATTCAGAGACTTATAGACAACAGAAATATTTTAGTTTATTCTCTGGTATACAGGGAGCCAGTGTAAAGATTTTAGAACTGGGATGAGGTGCTCCACTTTCTAAGTTTTTTGTGAGGACGCAGGCAGCTGCATTCTGGATCATCTGCAGCTCTCTGATTGACTTTCTAGGCAAACCTTTGAATACTTCACTGTAGTAATCAATTCTACAAGATATGAACACATGAATAAGATCTTACTGAGACATTATTCCTTTAATCCTAGAGATGTTCTTTAGGTGATGGAGGAGGACTTTGTTACTGTTTCTGAGCCACTGAAGGTTCAGGTCTGAGTCAATAACTACACCCAGATTTCAAACCTTTCTAACTATTAACCTTGCATTATTTCAGCTCATATCCTTTTGTTTGACACCACTCTCCTGCACATATCCAGGGTGTGTCATCCAGCTGTGCTCAGCCTCATCCAGAACTCCTTGATTCTGAGTCTTACAGCCACCATAAACAGAGCAGCATTCTAAGCTTTTGCATTTGCAACACTGCAAAAACTAGAACTTTGAAAAGTGGAGCAATCTTGCCCTTAAAGATACCTGAATGCTTCACTCTCACTCTTGATTTTTTGCAGACTGATTGAACATAACATTTTTTGTATAAACAACTTATATATTTTACAAATCCTAATTTGAGATCTTAACCTTTTTTTTCCAAATGTAGTTTTTAGTTGTTTTTTTTTTTTAGAAATGTTTCTTCCTGTGTGTTGCAGCTCTGCTAAAGGAATTAGTGTTAATATGCTGTGACTAGCTATAGGATACATCAATGCTAAATTAGGTCCAATAACTTCTTTTTTGTTTCTGATTGGACATCCAGGTACTACCCGCTCCCCGCGTGAAGGAGAGGTTCCTGGGGTGGATTATAACTTCCTGTCTGTAGAGGACTTCCTCGAGTTGGAGAAGAGTGGAACCCTGCTGGAAATTGGAACATATGACGGTAAACTGGAGCAGCTTATTTTCTATATCCACTGTTAGACAAATGGCAAGGATTTAGCTTAATGTGGGTGGAAATAGTTAAACTTAGAGGCAAAAACTATCGGCTTTTTAATTCTTTTAGGTAAGAAGTTATGAATACATGACCTCCAATAGTTGAAATATACACTGTAGCTACTTGGCAAAATGTATTGAAATAAACCAGGCCAGCAGCCAATCACAGACAGATCTCGTCCATCAATCAGATTGGTTATTATGAATAATGCATTTAATTGGTGTAACATCACCAATCCAAATGTGCAAATTAAAATTCTGACCCATTTGACAGAATTTATAAAATTAAGTTGTAGGATGAGTGAAATAAATGTTTTGATTTTTTTTGCCAAATCATTTTTGTTCAAGCACACAAACATGGTTACTTTCATTGTGCATTTTAGGTAATATTTCTATTTAGTTCTGTAAGCATAGCAATTAATGTTTACGTTTTGTTTTTTTTGTTTTTTTTTTTAAGGTGGACTCCGTTAAAACGGCTCACAGTCTCAGTCTAGGCTATTGTCTTATTTCCTTATAGCACATATCTGTCCTTAGTTTTTAACCAAAGGAACCTCTGTAGTGCATATATAGAACACATTTTTTAAATTGTTCACTGTTTAAAAATAGATCTACATAAAAAAACAAATACAAATTCAGAGCTCTTTGTTGTACAAATCATCGTTCAATTTGAGGTATGTAAAGCTATCCAACTAGGGATGAGTACCTAATTCAGCAGCTTTAAATTTATTAATATAATTCAGTCGGTACCACAGAGTACCCATTCATGTAAAATAAAACTATAATAATCTGCTGGTGCCTACTTCCAGCTGTCTATGGGTGAGAAGCGGGGTAAACCATGGAAGGGTCACCAGTCCATCGCTGGGCAACACAGAGCCAAACAGGACAAACAACCATTCATGCACACACTCACACCTAAGGAGAATTTAGAGAAGCCATTTAACCTAACAGTCATGTTTTTGGACTGTGCGAGGAAGCCGGAGTACCAGGAGAGAACCCATGGATGCACAGGGACAACATGCAAACTCCATTCAGAAAGATTATTTTTCACTTAGTTGTTATAGATAACTTTTAACCTTAGTAATCATATTCAGAATTCAGTACAAGTGTGAGTTCTTTCTAGAAGCAGTTTTCATAAGGTGTATGTCTAAATGTGCGTTTTCTCTCCTGGTGCTTTGGTTTCCTTGCCTAGTTTACCTGTTGGGTTATATCGCCACCCTAAACTGGCCTGAAAATTTTTACTGTATTATGCAGGGCATACACTGTACGATATTTTCAACTATGGTACTCAGCTACAGCTCAAACTGTATGATGAAACGGCAGTTTTAAAAGTTCACAGCTCACGATGTATGTTCTCACACCGTACGGCCTGACGCTCTGATGTAATCCAACTGCTCATACTGCACGTCCAAAAACCACGTCGGACACGCGCAGCCACAATAGTGCTAGTCAGACTCGTAAATCTGGAAGAAGAGGAACTCTCTTGTTTGCACATGCGCAGTGCTTGAGGTTCTGGTAAATCGGCTCGTAGATGCTCATAACTTTGCTTCAACAGCAGGATTTGCTCACTAACACCTAACAACGGCCAACTGAATTTCAAACATGTTTGATTTTCTCCCAACCTTACAATTCCTGATCGGGAGGTTGTCATGAGAGGTGGATCGCCCCTTGTCGACCCCTGTATACTGCACAACGCACAATGAGACTGAAATTTGGCCTGTTCGAAAATATCTCTCACGACTAGAGAATCGGCCCGAAAATGGTGAAAAATCGTACAACGTACACCCGGCCTTAATCAGGCAGCAAAGGTTCAGGAAGAAAGCTTGGTTCTGGATTTGTTTTTTTACTTTATGTTTCAATGTCTGTGTTGTATTTTATTTCAACAAACTAAATTGAAATCTTTTTTTCAAGCTGTTGTTATTGAGAATTATCTTGTGGAATATTTATTAGTTCTTGTTTAGCCTCTGACCCAAAGACTCATAACTATAACCTCCAACCCTTTATCTTGTTGTCTCTCTGCTCTTGCGTGGTTCCCCAGGTAACTATTATGGGACGCCCAAGCCGCCGGTGCAGCCCCCCATCGGGAAAGTGATCAACACCAGCGGTAGTGGTGGTGATGCCCTGCTGTCAGACGGGCTCAGCGGTAGCCTGCCGGGCTCGCAGAACTCCACTCCCCGACGAGCCAAGTCCTACAATGACATGCAAAATGCTGGAATAGGGCTTACAGATAACCAACTGGAGGACGACGAGGACCTCCCTGACATGAACAGCAGCTTTACAGGTAGCTAAAGATGAGACAGACTTAGCTTTCCAAAATAAGAAAAGGTTCTTGCTGTGTTTGGTAGCGTGATTAGTTTTATTGGATGGCCTTAAATGTATTTAGATGCATCCAGATTTTACTACACAGGTTTGCAGCTACACCAAGTTTTGTCTTACAGTTCTACATTTGTTGATTTATTTATTTTTTTTCTTCAACTTTGACTCTGTTGGTCCAAAAAACCCAGTTTCTCCTAAAAAGGTTAAATTTTATAACTAGGCAATTGGAATAAAACTTAAAATGAAATATTTTTTACATCTTTACCTGTGGCTCAAAAAAAGTATATTTAAGAGGATATTTCTGAGTCTGTTTTAATTAATAATCATAAAGGATTGTGTTTTACGGTAGCAAAGATGACCTAGGTGGAGAAAAAGCCAGCGGTTTAATATCAAACACAGCTTTTGTGCTTATTCTGATTTATAGTAGTTAAAGAAAACAGAAAAAAAAATGTTTTTTGGTTTATTTCAAAAGAAAATTAAGGTTTCCATAGTTTAAAAAGAAAGACAACAATCCTTGACCAGTTAACCAATTTAAGAGAGCGTTACTGGCTTTGCTAACCAGCAACACAATCAGTATTTGCCGTCCTTTTCCTTTAAGATGTTGCATGATAACAGATCTGGATCTCAAAATGCTGCCTTTTAAAAGTGATGAGTATCATTTGAAATCTTTAAGGACTGGGAATCGTTGCTGTAAGCAGAGGAGTTGGCATACAGGAGGTCAGAGCTGTGGGACATTGGTCAGATGGTTTTAATGCTGAGAACCATCCGTTCTTCCAGGGAACACGTTGTTTCTCATGAAGAGCATGCTGGCCTGAATTCTGATGCTTTTCTGCAGCCAGACTGCAGAATAAACAAAGGTGTATCAGCAACATCCACAGATAAAGTTGGAAAGCCACCTGGAACCTTTTAAAACTGACTCCTGGTTCAGACAGCTTAGCGTTAGTGCTAATCAGCAGAGTTGGATCTCTGAATTTAAAAAGTGACATGATGATCAGTGTTATTGCTCAGATTTAGTGTGCTATTATCTTCAACTTGATAAAGGTTCCCAGGTGCTGGAGTGCTAGTTAACATAAATGAAAAACAGATGGGTCTGCACATTATCTGTGACTAATTTAAAAAAAAAAAATAATTGCGTTGTTGGCTATTATTTTACTATTTTAATATTACTCCAATAATGTATTTATTCTCTGTTGGATATAAAACCATCTTTATCAAGGAATCAACACTAAATCTGACCTTTTCATTTGTAATTGTCTTTTAAGAAATTCTAAATTTTGGGATCAATCTTCATTTAAACACAAAATTAATACCAGCCAAGGGTGGTGGTGAAAGCATACTTTTTTAACGTTAAGCTCTTAAAAAGTACTAAAGCATACTAAAGCTTAAAGGGGCTTTTGTATTTCTAGCTTAGTATTTAACTCTGCTAATAATATTCAGTAAAAAAAATGCAGTAAATGGCTTTAGAACTTTTATTTATAGGGATGGAAAATGGAGAAAAAAAAGCACAGAAATATTATCTTAAATAGTGATTCTAATGAACGGATATTTGTGTTGCATGTTAAACTAAAGCTCCCAGACATCGGTCCCAAAAAGAGGTCCATATATTCATTCTCTCTTTTGTTCAGCTTCACCTGGACATGCTAAGATGTTGTGAAGCTTCTTGTCTTCAGTAAAATGAAGAAATCTAATAAGCGATCTCTGAAAGTGCTTCTGACCACAACATGACACCAGGTGAAAGCTCTTGGATTGATTTAGATGCACATTTGATATATTTTGATTCAGGTTGTGGGGAGGATTGGCCACAGCGCCTACATTAGCTAATGAACATGTTAGCCACATTAGTAATCAGAACAAACTGAGCTCCAGAGAATTACTGAAGTTTGGTGGCTGGATGAGCAGTTCCTTTTAAAGGTTACCTCATGGGGGTAATGCAAGGGTGGTAACATCTGCAGCCCTACCTTAAAGGAATAGTACACCCAAAACATGATTAGCCTTCATTTTCTACTCACCCCCATGCTGAACAACACTCTGGAGTACTTTTTTGATATCTCAAATGCATCTGGAGATCTGGGAGGCTTCTTACTGTCTGCTGACATTCAAATAATGGAGGTCTATGGTGCCCGAGACAGAAAGGTCCATAAAAGTCCACAAAAAACTTGTCAATATTCCTCCATACTGCTCGTCCAATGTATTCCAAGTGTCCTGAGTGGTTAGCGTCCATAATTTACTTGAAACGAAGTCATTTAGAATGTTTTTAGAGCATAAACAGTAGTGTATAGGATTTCCTAAAAGCGCGCGCCTGCGCGTTCACGACGCTACGGAAACCGCGGCAGACCAAACCAGACGAAAGTGCGCATTCAGCGTCTGCTCTGCCGATACTGCAAGCGTAGAAGAAGAAATGTGCTGTTTACCTGCGCAAATAAAGAAACAACGAAAGAAAAATGTCTGAGGACTTCAGTGTTGAGGAAGAGCATGAGTTCTTTGCTGAGCTAAATGCGCACTTTCATCTGGTTTGGTCTGCCGTGGTTTCCGTAGACTCGTGAACGCGCTTTCAGGAAATCCTATACACTACTGTTTAGGCTCTAAAAACATTCTAAATGACTTCGTTTCGAGTAAATTATGGACGCTAACCACTCAGGACACTTGGAATACATTGGACGAGCAGTATGGAGGAATATTGAAACGTTATTTGTGGACTTTTATGGACCTTTCTGCCTCGGGCACCATAGACCTCAATTATTTGAATGTCAGCAGACAGCAAGAAGCCTCCCAGATCTCCAGATGCATTTGAGATATCAAAAAAGTACTCCAGAGTGTTGTTCAGCATGGGGGTGAGTAGAAAATGAAGGCTAATCATGTTTTGGGTGTACTATTCCTTTAACTATAAATACAAATCTGAACTTAGCAAGGGGGTTCGTTTAAAATTTCTGAAAAGTGTGGCATGCGTTTTTAGTTGTTACCTTACTTTGAATTCCCTAAATACAGTCCACTGCAGCGAGATATCATCACAGTACCAACCCTGACCCACTTATAATCTCACCTTAAGTCTGGGTCACACCTGTTGCTTACTGTTCCATTCGACACTGACTGCGTATAGAGAGGCTCAGACTAAGAACAGAGGCGGACATTAGAAATGTGATGGGAACTACACCTAATGAAAAGGAAAACACAGCAATAAACGCTGTGGGACGGTTTATATTAAGCATACTGACTGAGGCAATGAGAGGTGATTCTCATAGAGATCTATAAAGTTTGTTGAAGTTTTTATTTTTTCTCCTAAAGTGGGGAGACAGATAAGCTGTGCTTTCCTGCACTGTCTGCCCCTTGTTTTTTTTTTGTTGTTGTTTTTTAAGAAGATCACTATTTAATCTGTTTTCTGTCCTCCTGAACTCCTATCATAGGTAAAGTATTATTTTTATTTTAATGTTTCATTTATTGTTTATGCACAAGTCTGCTTAATACGTGCTGTTGGACTCGAAATCACAGTTTCCCAGTGCGATTGACAGATCTTCTTTATAGCCCCCAAAGCGAATGTGCTCCACTTTCTAACCGCATCTCTCTTCCTGTCAGAGCCATGAAATTGCTGCTGAATTGCTGCGTAGTCTGACTAAAATAAACCTGGGGTCTATCTCAGTTGGAGCAACCGAAGCCCCCTGAAGAAAGTTGCCTGGTGTGATCGTCCACATTTAACCTCAATGAACACTAAACACCACAAACACGTCCGACACGATTTTTCTGTTGAATCAGATGCAAAATCTGATTCAGTGTTAAACATGGTGGTAGCAGCAGTATGCTGTGGAAATGCATTTCCCGAGCAGGGATCCATCCTTTGTCTTCTTTTGTGTTGGCAGAGTAAACTTGTTTTACTAAGGCTTCTGTTACTGTTGTGGACACCTTTAACAAACAGAGCAGCTCCATGCTAACCGCTCACCTATTCAACCTGAGGATGCCTTCTATGCAGACGGCTCCATAAGCTTAAAATACAGTCAAACTTCTTAGTAAGGCTGCATGCAGAGATAATTTTACCTTATCAACTAAAAAATGTTGACCTTTTTTTCCCTCAATAACCATCTAATTAGATGGCAAAATGTGCTCAATGTAAGACTTTTAGAGAGTTTAAACCAGCTAAACTTTAAGCTGTCACACTTTAGAAGCTCTAGATAAATCATGTTTACAAAGTTTTTTACTCTTACATATAAAGTTTATATATTTTTTTTACATATATTTTTACAGTTTAGCTTCATTTTTTCTCTGAGTGGGTTGGTCTTTCAGCAGATTGTTTGTTTTGGATTATTTTTACTCTAGGTAACAAATATTAAATGAATCAGTTAGTATTAATTCAATGAATAATAAATCACATTCAGTCCAGTTAATTGCTTCCGCCCTTTGCTGGTCAAGATCCTGGGTAAGAATTTGAGAAGGTTAAATGGGAGGGGAGTGGAAGAGAAGTGAAAGTAGAAAGAAATAAGAAAGAGGGAGTGACTTAAGGTTGGGTAGGTCTGAGAGGGCTTTGGGCAAGAGGGCAGAGAGGGAGAAAGAGAGACTTCTCTGAGCAGAAACATATAAAGAAAGAGGTGAAAGGAGGGGGCAGCTTCTTTTAAGGTACGTTTCAGTTTTTTTTTTTGTTTGTCTTGTATTATTTGCCTCTAGATATGCATGTACAAATGTTAAATAGTGCCATCTTGCTGCGAGCTGCAGGTTTAAGCAACCTGTTTAATTTCAACAGAAATGTCCTTAAATATGTATAAGTTAAACCTTAGAGTTGATCTCCGGGTTACCTTTAAACCGACTCTCTTTGTTATCATTTATAACATTCCCTGTATGGATGCTGATTCAGCACTGATGCTCTTTATCTTGTTTGTTTTTTGTTTTTCTTTTTTAATGGTGTGACCAAAAGTTGTTTGTGAGCCTTTTGTGATTTTGGAGCCGTTAAAGTTGTTGGTCTGGTGTGAAAATGAGCCAGCAGGAAGCTAAGTGCTAACAATTCAGATACCATGACTCCTAAGTGTGAACTTCCCCCTAAGCTGTCCTGACGTAAATGTTTTCAAAGCTTCAGGAAGAGCTTTGAGAGAAGAGGGTTCAGTCAGATTGAGACTTTTACTGCTATTAATATACATTTCCTAAAGAATATGATTTAAGGAAGTGGTGATCTGCTGTTTGCCTCCTGTGATCTAACTCTAATCTAACCAGTTTTTACAGCAGCTGCAATTTGGTGTGCTGTTTTAAGACCATTATTTGGGCTTTCGGAAGGTTTGATTCAAACTTTTTTACAAATATATGCATCAATTCACAGACTTTTGTATTTAACTTTAAACCCTAAAAAAGTAAAGAATTTAGTCATGAAGATTTTTTTGTTTTATAGCTTAAACCTTTCCGTGGACTCGGTTCTGCCTTCTTTGGGCGCTCCTGTTTTGTCTGCTTTTCTTCTGATGTTGCTGAACTGTGTGTAAGTCGGAGCTGTGTTTGTTTCTCACAGGAGATTCTAGCGAAATAGACGAGCTTCATCACTCAGCGCGCCCCCACGTCCCTCGCTATAGTGACCCGTCCTACGCTGGGACAACCCCCTCACCATCGGCCACCACGGAGAGCACACAGCAGACAAACCTTCACCTGAGCCATCCTCCCCCGGAGGACCCGCTGGGACCTCTGCCTGACAACTGGGAGATGGCCTACACCGAGAATGGAGAGGTCTACTTTATAGAGTAAGAAACTTCTTATTCCTTTGAAATGCGAAGCATTTAGGAATGCAATTTTTTGTTTTTATAAAATACTAAAAACAAATGTCTAACCTTGAGCATATTTTAATGTATGGCTGAGCCAAACGGACCAAAAATTAACATCTTGATACTTTAAATCTGCATGCAGATATATCATATATCATTTGATAATTGTTTTATTATCATAAATTTGATTGCTGTAAAATGTTCAGAGATTAAAATAGGAAGCTTGGTGCAGACAGATGATGATGATGATGATGATGATGATGAAGAGGAACTGGGTCTTAAGTACAAGTTTTAACACGACATGGATAGAAACAAAACGGTCTCATCTTATCTCTTTTGAGAAAACCTTTATATTTTTAGTCTCTATATTGCTCAGCCCTATTATGTTAGTATAGTAAGCTTTAAAGTTAAGCTTTTAAGTATCTTAGTAGTAGCAAGCTTTAAAGATTATTACATGCTTTTTCACCTTAAACAATAAACATTTTGATGTGTTCATATTAAGGAATTAACTTAATGATTAATGAACTTATCTAAAGTTGATTGATCTAATGAGTCGACTAACAATTCATTAATGGGTGGCAATAAAAAAAAAAGAAGTTTGAGTTTTCCCTTGTATTAAGATGATATGAAATGAAAATATTAACATGAACCGCTTAATATTTTGATTATTATACACATAGTTAAGAATGAAGTATTAAATATTATATCCCCATTTACACTACCTATCTGAAACCGTGCCGAGAGTGAGCACAGTAAACGAGATAGCTGAGTGTTTCTTGTATTTGATATTATAAATATAAATATAATTTTATCTAATAAATATTACAGAGAATCAGGTAACATTGAAAAATGTGTCAACATCTCCACAAACAGAAGAGATGGGTCATTTATGTAAAAAAAAAGCTGAAAATTTGAGTTTAAATATAATTTTAAAATTTCTTTGTTTTATAATATAAGATTTCAATATTTTTATTAATCCATAAATAGCAAAACGACGATATTATGAGATCTAGAATAATTTCTGACTGAAACTCGATTTAAGAGCAATCCAGTACACATTTTTCCTATTAAGGTTAAATTAACAGTAAATAATATTATTGACAATCTTATTAGAAGTGTATTAATCTGCAAAGCATAAAGTATAATGTTGTTTTTTCATCCAGAGTGGGAACTATATTAAAATGGGAGTGTAAATGGCACACCAACTGAGCCCGACCGTGCCAAACGAAGCCAAACCGTGCTAAACTGGTACTAGTTCATCAGTAGGGCTCGGCTCGGTTCAGTTCTGGCTCAGTTCTCAGATAACAAAGAGCCCACGAGCAGACTGCATCATCACCTTACAGTACAGTTAGCCTCCGTAATCATGTAACTTAAGACATAGCTTCCCTACCGTGCCTCACGATTTCCAGTAATTATTCTGATTAGTAAAGATCGGTTTAACACGGTGGTGCAACTGGGGCTATTATTATGCTTATTTAAAAGATCTAACAAAACAGATACCCTATTAGGTTACAGAAAAAAATCTGAATAAACCAAATATGATTCCTGATGTACAGAGATGTAAAACTATCAATAGAATACAGGATATGTCACTCCGACGTAGGATCCAGTTAATGTTACTACATTTATAAATTGCTTACTGTGATGGAGCTCTGTTTTTAGTTTCCTCTTCTGTCATGGTACATTTGTAATTCCCTCCACTTTTATTTGTCCTGGCCTAACGAGCACAGCAGAGAAGTTGACGCGGCTTTGTCATGCAGACGCAGCAGTATTAGTTGGCTCTATACATCTCATGGGCTTCTGTTTGTAAATATAAACACTCGATAAACCCCCTAAGGTGTTTTCTGCATCCTAGTCGGCATTAAACAGTTAAAGTATTCCTGGACCAGACTCGCAGTAGATAAATATTTCTGTTTTAGCGGGCCGCCCTCCGCTCTGGCATTACTTCTCACACAGAGCACCAGTGAAGATCTGCTAAAGTATAAACCGCACGCTCTGGTGGACGACAGTAACATTACAACACAAAAAAACCAAGCAAAAAAAACCAAGCAGAAGTCATGAATTATGGAGATGGAACAAATGTTCTAATAACCAAGGATTTGACTCTTAATAGTAATTTGATTATTTGTTTAAATCCCTAGTTCATATCCATATATTTTATTTAGATTTTATCACTCTGTAATGCATTTTAAACAAAGGGAAGGAAACTTTTTTCAGATAAAAGAATAAGTGAGACATACATTTTTATTTAGCCCTCCTGAGTCGGTTCCATCACTGCCCCTTCTCATCTTCCCTCTTTTTTTCCCCTTTAATTTTTACAAGTTGGCCCAAACTCAGTTAATTCTGTTAACTTTTTCCATGGAGTTGCATTCTAACACTGCTATTTTTATACTTTGATATTGTTTTAGTTAAAATATAAGTATTTTTATGCTATGTATCCTGCTGATAGATGAATCTCAGTGAACTGCTCCAGTCTTTTTTTTTTTTTTTTTTTTTTTTTTTAAGGTATAAACACACTTTCTTCCTGATTACCCTGAATTTAACCTTGTCCATCTTAACACCCATTTACACTGCCTTCAACACCAGCCTTTCTTTGGGCACAGTGTGTTACAGCTGAAAGGTTCTTAATTATTTTTCTTAGGCTCATCTGATCAGATCCCCTTTTTTCAATATGTCTTTTAGTAAACTGCAAAAATAATATTTTATGATTTTGTATGATATAACTGATAGTTTTCCTGTTGTTAGAGATGTGGATCTCTGCAGCTTAAGATAGATTACGTTAGGATCATTTTATTATTCTAACATTTCAAATTCAAAAGATTTTAAGGTTTGTGGTTCTAAAAAGTGTGAATATATTGAATGAGGTGTGAATACTTTCACAAGGCCGCGCAGGATGGAGCCTTTAATTGCAAAGCTGCACATCTGATGTGAAGAAATGGGTGCCTGTCAATTAGTAAAAGGCCATAACCGTTTAAATTGTCATCTTCTGTGTTTTGTTCAGCCACAACACAAAGACCACCTCTTGGTTAGACCCTCGGTGCCTGGACAAACCTCAGAAACCCCTGGAAGAATGTGAAGATGATGGTATGTGAGATCTCATGTTTTACTGTGGAAATATTCTTTCTTTACTCTTTGATTTCAATATTTGCTGTTTGCTTTTTTATAGCATGGCTCTAAAAAATAGCAGATAAACGTCTTATCCTGGCTCAGTGTTCGATTTATTGAAAAAAGAAGTAGTTGTTTTTTTTTTTTAGGTATTGATGTGTTTCCCACCATATTAATGGTATAGATCTTTAATCCAGTTAGTTTGTTTCCACAGTAACCTTTAGGTGTCACTGTTGGGCAACAGAAAGCACCAGCTCTGCTCTGTGATTTATATTTTTATTATCTCTAAGGGAAACAAGCGTCAGTGCTTATATTGGTTTATTGTTCTGGATTTTCTGGCCATCTTAAAGCAGCTCATCATGTTTTTTATTACAAATAAAATGTGCAGCTTTTATTCAGGGTAACAAGATTCTTTTTTTAGTTCCTGGTTTTATGTCAATATTGCCTCAAACAACACAGATCCGGTTATATGCCAGAAACCAACCTGTTCATTTTTTGTAAACAAAGATCATCACATGATGTCGATGGACTGGTTTTCATTATTTCTTGCCACCAAGTGGCCAGATGTTGCTACTGCATCCTTCTAACTCCAGATTTTCTTCTTTTTTTTCCCCCTCCCCCTTCTCATCCCTACTGTTTCTCTTTGACAACAATCTGGTGCTGAGCAGAAGGGGTCCATACAGAAGAGCTGGATGATCTCGGTATGAAATCATCTCTTTTTTTCCTTCACTCTTGTTTTATGAATGCGTATTTAGTTAATAGAGCAATCTACTGAATACCCCAGTGTTCTTGAGGAGTTCTAATGGACGTGTGTGTCAGTAAAGTTAATGATCCACATGCACATAACCATAACCAGTACGACCAGTGGCTCATTCTGAGGGACTTGGCTGCAGGGGAGAGGTGACGCTGACTTTAATCATCCAGAAATGAGACATCGGTCTTGCAGAGACTTGACATTCATCACGCCCAGCCCCTCGTACGTGGCTCTGACGTTCAACAAACACAGCCTGCATGTGGCCTTTAACACAATTATCGACCCACGGATACACAGGCATCAAACCACGAAACGCTCCCACCTCGGCAGGCTATCATTTCTTGCAAACCGCACATCCAGAATAGCTTCTTCTAATGATGTTTTTTTTTTCTTTTTAAACGGCTGTCTGCGTGAGCAGAATGACGGCAACAATCCCTGCTTTCCCAGAGCCCCACAGCTTTCTAACAAGCATCCAAATCATGACATTGGGTTCAGTTCTTCAGAAAAAACTATTTCTGGGAAAGATGGCACTGATAATAACTGCCTATGATTGTTAGAGTTGCCCTGGATGAGATATCTGATTATTGCCTTTGTAACCCTGCCTTGTTTGGCACAGTTTTAGAGGATGTATAGTTTTTAAGCTGCTTTCAGTATAAATATGGAGAAGTCTGAGACAGTGCTTGCTTTTCCCCCCTCATTTTTAAGATCGTTTTGGGTAAAATATGTATATTTCTACTAGGATTGCAATGATGATTAAGCCGGCTCATGAATCTGCCCTGATTTCCTGAATTTAAGTTGATCAGTCGATATTTATAACTAAACCTTATGATATCAATAGCCTTAAAATGAGCAAATACTGCAAATAAGCTTTCATGTTTGAGCACATTAACTTGTATGCTGGTAAAGGTTTAAATGGATGCACTGCTTTTGTTAAAGGTTTTTAATCCAATTGGATAAGAATATTTAAATTGTATTGTGATATTTATAACATCAGACAGTGCCAGTCATATTAAAAGTGATTGGCCAAAATGAAAGATGACAAGTCAGATGTTTTAAAGGGGTTTGCCAGAAAGCTGCACTCAATGCAGCCCTGTTTATTTTTTTTACTGACTGACCGGGATAAGATGCCATTCAATTCCAAAGAAGGTGTCACGCTATATATTTTCACCCTGTGGAAAACAGAAAACCTTGCATTACTGTTTAGAAGTTCCTAAAACCATGGAAAGTTACATTAAATAGTTGAAGAGATTATGCTTTTATTTTCTGGCCAATCTTTTCCAGTGAAGTGTAAGTATGAAGTTTCATCATGCAGGAAGGAAAATAAAAGGTTTTACCTCTAACTTAAACCATGGAGCAGATTATGATGTTTTTACAGGAAAATTAGATCGAGTAAATCATGTATCTATAGAGTGCACAAAATCCAGTTCACATTGAAAAAAAGTATTTTTTTTTTTATCTTGGTGTACATGTGCATATAACATCCACAAAGACACAGAGTTCTCCTCTACACCACATGCTCACCCAAGAGGGCTCAATCAACGCAGCGCAGCACGGGAACGAAATGCAAACAGTTGGGAATGTAACTCAGCGAGCTCAGTTCCACCTTGATTTGGAAAGTAGGATATGGGAAGAGGGTGAGGGGAGGAAAAAAAAGCCTAATGAGTGACACGTTTTTGCTGCTGCTGCACTCGTTTGCGTTTCCACACACTCGGATGGATCCTCGTCAGATGCAAGCGGCACCAGGCGTCGTCTCTCTCTGCAATCTCACGCACCATCTCCACACACACACAGGTGCACCTTCTGGAGAAAAACTAGTGCAGTGTGAAATCAAGTGGGTGATTAGAATTTAGCGCGAGGTGAGGCGAGACCGCAATCCATTTACTGTTTCAGTTCAAAACATTTGAATAGAAGAATTCACAGCCGCCACAGCTTCACCCTTGCAGCAGTGCTCTCTCAGTAACCTTGCATACCTCCAGCTTTCTGTGTCAGCTACATGAGGAGAATAGTGAATAACGAGCTCATGTTTATGCATGCTAAATTGTAGAAAAGGGAAACATGATTTTCTTGTTTCTGGCATCTATATTTATTCCCCTTTTACACTCATAACACGAATTTTAAATCCTGCAAAACTACTGACCTCAGACATTATCCTTACAGTAAAAAGAGTCTGGCTGAGAGCATTTTAATCTCACTATAACTAACAATGTGTTACAGCATGGCAGAACAGTTAGATCAAAAGTTCTGAGGAAGATTGAAGCATGTTTAAGTGAAAACATTTTTTATCGGAAGCTTTAAAAATCTCATGAGGGAATGTTTAGTTCAGCGCTGAAGATGGAAACAATGTTGAACAGCTGGACACTTACCCAAGGCCAGACAGGAAGTGGAGAGTTGTACCTTTAAAGGCACTGCAGAGATAATCTGCTGAGAGAATCTATTGGCAGGATGACTGATTGCCTTGCACAAAACAAATTTGGTCTTTTATGGCAGATAGAAGAGGTTCATTTTAGCCAGGAAGTCATTAGAAGTCCAGTTTACGTTTAGTTTTTTTGGCCTGAAGCCATGGGGAACACAGCACCTTTTTGTCAAATGAGACCAAAATTTAACTCCTTGTTCAATACACAAACTACCAAAACCCTCATGAGCCTCAATACACCCTTTACATTGAGAATACGGTAGTGGCAGTATCATGCTGTGGGGATTAAGAGGTTTTTCTTTTAGGAGGAAGGTTGCATCAGCTAAATACAGGGTGAAACCTGTTCTCTGCTATCCTAGTGCTCGTGGCTAAACCGAGAGCTAAACATGCAAAAATACCTGCATTAAATTATATAATGGCCTAGTCAAAGTCCAAATCTTATTCCAGTTGAGAATCTGAGAAAAGACTTGTAAATCACAGCGGCGATTATCCAATGGGACTCATTTTAGAGTATGTTAGGAGTTTTAATTTTAGTCTCAAAATGTGCAATTACAGTAGAAACGTACCCAAAAATATGCCCAGCTGTAACCGCAGCAAAGATTAGTGGTTGTAACGTGTCAAAAGGTGAAAGTTTAAGGGATTTTAGCCTCCTAATAACAAGCAGAGATTCTCTGTTGTTTGTAATAATACACACCCGCAAACAGGACCTAGCATCAGAAGATAGAAACATCTGCTTTTAAGAAACCTCTAAATTGAGTTTCTGAGGATGGATACTGGCTTTAAAACACAATTCAAATGTCCTGTTAGGAATATATATTATACTTATCTCAATGAGACTGAATTCAGCTGCTGGACAGTGACATGTGGCAGAGCAATCCCATGCATATTTATATCCTGACACAGATTTCCTCTTTTGGTTCCATCTGTAGTTTATTGTGTTTGAATTTAAGGCAACTTTGAAGACATGCAAAGAGATACTCAAGTGTGTAGAGAATCCACATGGTTATATAAATACACGGAGAAAGGCTAAAGTGCAAGAAATTAATTAGAAAGAGGCATCAGTCACTGTATCTCTCTGATACAACCAAGGACACCTTACACGAATTGGGTGTTTGAATTAGAGTTTTTTGCATTTATAACATTCCTCTGAGTGTTTGTCAGTAAAGAAAATAAGAAAAATGTCATTTATTAAGCTCTCAGCTAAACACACTGTTAGGTTAAAAAATGTTGGTTCGTAAAATACATGTAGGAATGAAAACACAGTAAGGGATTTTCAACGACAGCTTCTGCAGGAGCGGAAAGAGCCCAACCTAACTTCCAACTCTTTCTTCGACTCCCCTCCTGCGGCCGTCTTTTATTAACAGTACATAACACATGGTTGCAAAACAGTATTGTTCTGACAGAACAATTGATCAGTTAATAAGACAGGATTCTCCACCAGAATCACAAGGCAGGATGGTCTCCTGACTGAATCACAAGACAGAGTGGAGCATCTCCTTGTTTTAAAGCTTATATGTACATACATTAATTTTATAATCATCATTGAATAAACCTAACACACGACACATAAATCTTTTTTTATCAACTCAAGCATGTGTTTTTAAAATCCTGATCAAATCTTGGATAAATCCTTCCTCTACTCCTTTTGTTTCCTCGCCTCCTCTACCTCCTTGCTCTTCTTTCATCTTTTCCAACTCTCTATCCTGCTCAGCTCTCCCTCTCCACGACCCTACTGGCCGTTTTCCTCCTCCTTTCTGTTGCCAGCCTTTCATACATCTCTACCCATGGGGTCCAGCTGTGTTCTTATCTGATGTGTGGAAATGTCAGCAGCGAGAGGTGACAGAGGTCGGGTTGGGGGGGAGGGACCTGTGAAGCTGTCCAACCACTCCGATCCTGGAGACTGACAGATTGGTTTCAAATGATTTAAATCATAGTATGGGTGCATCCTAATAGATTTATATTGAGAAATACGCACCTGGAATCACTGCGTATTGTATGGTTTCATTATGCACATCAGAGGCATTTTTTTTTCATTTTGGTGATTATGGCATTTAGTTAATATCGCCAAATTTAGTCCAAGGCAAGTTGCTTTAAGATGGGCGTACACTGTGCGATTTTTTTCAAACGTTGCTCGCAGCTCCAGCTCACACTGTATGACGGGACCGCAGGGTTTCATCGCACAGTGTGAGTTCATAGCTCGCGATGCATGTTCTCATGCATGTGCGGCCCGATGCTCTGATTCACGTCTGCATGTTTGACTCAGCTCCGCAGTGAGATGGTGCTACTCGGACTCGTCTATCTGAAAGCCAAAACGAGTAGAAGAGGAATATGAAGCTCACTAGAAACCCGCTGCCTTGGCAATTTGTGTAATTTTGTGCTGAAAGCCCTAAGAAGAAAAGGCGACAACGTATTTGGACGAAGACATCGCTGAGCAAACGTGGCTACTACAGTCTGTCAATTTTACAGAAAGAACTCCATTTCATCTGCACCCCCGCCATGCTTCTGTGTTTTCATCTGAGAGGAAGAAGAAGAAGAGTCCTTGTTTGCGCAATGAGCGATTTGCCCATGACGGCCAACATGTTTCACGTTTCCTGATCAGGAGGTTGTTGAGAGAGGCTGATCGCCCCTCGTTAACACCCTGTATACTACACGACGCACGATCAGGCTGAAACTCGGCCCGATCGAAAAAATCTTCCATTTGGCCCGAAAAGGGCAAAAAAATCGTACAGTGTATGCCCGGCTTTAATGTTCTCACCTGCTCTGGAATTTAGGTTTTTTGCAGCTGTAAAAAAAATGATGGATAAAAACACTTGACACTTATTAATCTTTTTTTTAACGAATTCATCTGAGGTTGAGAATGACCGAAGAAAACAAACATTTTAATGATTTGGTCAAATTTTGGTAACACGCTACTTTGGAAGGGAATTTGCTTCCCTGATGGTGACACTGGCAGCCATATTTAAGCCTTTAAAGCAATGCACGTTTCGGAGCTTGGAACAAAACCTACATTTATCAGAGTTCAAACGTAAACACTTACTTCCCAGATAGGACAAGCAGCCTATGAGGAAAAACTTAGGTTCAGCGACAAATAAATCAGGGTGTCATCAGTGTATGTTTTGACATGATTTTGTACAACAGTGATGATTAAGTTAAAAGCAACCTTGCAACTTTGTGTCTTTATTATTATTTTCTTCTCTCTTTCTTATAGAACTTCCTCCAGGATGGGAGAAAATTGATGATCCAGTCTATGGGGTCTACTATGTTGAGTAAGTACTGTAGCACATATTTGAAATATGTTTACACGACAGTGCATTGGTAGATGCTGCAGACCTACAGCCTTTGCAAATGATTGTAGTTGCACAAAGACAGCAAGTCTTTTTTTTTTTTTAGTCCAACAAGCCACACTCTTGACCTCACTGTAAATCTGAGCCTGCAGTTTTGTTCCATCAGTCCCAAACAGATTGTGCCTCAGCTATTTTGAGCCGCTGCGCTACGGCTAATGTAGGCCATTCAGTTTGTGTCATTACCGTTTGGGAAAATAAGCAACAATTGGGTTTGTTTTTGTCTGCATCTCATTCATTTCAGACGGCGTGAAGCCGCCGACCCCCAGCATTAATACAAATATGTTCTGTGTGTATTTGATGTTGTTCAGAGCAGTACCTGGGGGCTCGAGGATGTGGCGCTTCTTTTTTTGTCCTCCTTTGTCAAGGCAGTATATTTTCTCATATACATTATTCAAAATTGCTCTCATTTGCCTCATAATAAAGTGCTTTCAGCTGCTGGGATCCTCCCAGGCACAATTGTTAGTGTGAGAGATGTTTCACGGGTTAAACCAACAAAAAAAAACCTTTGCAGGGAATAGATTAAATCTTGGTTTTCAAGTAAATATATTTTTAATAGAGGTATTGACATAAATCTCTAACCAGATTGTTGTAAAATTTTAAATAATCTGCACATAAAAAAATACATTGTAAGAAATGTATCAATAGATTATATCATGATTAATTAGAAGGGATAATTGAAGGAAGGAACCAAATGAAGTATTGTGTAATACTTGGTAGGAGGGCCTTGTTTGGTGATGCAGATCAAATGTGTGTCCTGCCCATTAAAACTAGTCAAATGTTTTTCCCATGTGGGATTTTAAACCATTATTTCACATCAAATATCCTCAGGGCGGGATATTTTCTGCACTCCCTCCATACTCTGCTGTCAGGCCTTACTATGGATTAGGTTGGGTCGCTGGTGGAATGAGTCGTTGTATTAGCTTTGCTTGTTTTCTGTGTTTGGGGATCTTTTTTTTTCTGACAGTGAATGAGCAGGAGCTTAGCAGTGAAATGCACATTTCCATTTGTAAAGTGCAGCTGTGGTCAAAAATGTAAACAGTATGGGAGAGACATATAGCAAAAGGCATTTATGTTGGTGGTTCAGAGCAGTACAAAAAAAAGTAGAAACACTGAGTTGAGTTCTATTTGAAGATTCACCAGATCAGTGCAAGTATGATAGTGTGATGCAGAGTCTGGTAAGTGACTTGATTAGAGTTTTTTTTCGACGGTTCAACAGTCTTATGGCAGTGCGGAAAAAGCTGTTACAGAATCAGCTGGACCTGCATCGAATGCTGCTAAGCCTCATTCCAGAGGGCAGCAGGGAGAACAGTCCATGGTGGGGGTGTGATGGGTCGATGATGAAAACCTTTTTATATCAGTTAGGAATTAACCACCTGATATTCATTTGCACTGATAGGAGACAAGATATTGTTGGCTTTCTCTGACCTTTGGATCTCGTATTTTTCATGTGTTTAAAACTTATATATATATATAAGTTCTATAATAGTTTTCACAAGGGCTGGGCAATATCAGGAAAACATGCAATTGCAATGCTGTTTCTAAAATATGAAGATGATTACATTAAATACAATTTAAAACACGATTGTGTCAGTTTTTTTTTTATTTTGTGTAAAGTCTACAATGTCCAGTAACATTGGTTTAGAAGGAATTTCATTAAATTAGTTAGTGTAATTGAAGTTTATTCAACAAGCAACTATTTTTTTGTCACAAATGTCTGGTGGGACTACTAGTGACCACAGGTTTGTATATTGGTTTATTAATCACTTTTCTCCTTTTCTCCTCCCTGTTCTCCTCCTTTGGCCCTACCTGACTCTCCGCTCTATCCTCCTTTGTTTTTTTCTCCTGCTGATTTTTCCGTTCTATTTATTCATTTTTTCTTCCAATTCACTCCTCCTGCATTCCTTATATTTCTCCTCTCCACAGTCATATCAACAGGAAGACCCAGTATGAAAACCCAGTGCTGGAGGCTAAGAGGCGCAGGCAGCTGGAACAGCAGCCCGCCCAGCAGCCTCAGCCCCAAAGCCAGCAGCCACCTGAAGGTGAGCGCTACATCCGAGGTTCGTTCACAAGCCCCCACCAAGGGCGTCATTTTCTTTCTTTCTATTCATGTTTATCCCTCTTTTGGCCTGTGTTGAACTGTTAGCACCAGTTACTGCTGCTCTGCCTGCTAAAGCCTTATGATTTGCTAAACGCTCTTCCATAAAGGCATAACTATTATTTGCGGCTGTACGACGCAGCCTTTTATTTACGTTCCTTTCTGATTTCTCTGCAGCATTTGTTGTCTTGTTTGTTTTATTGATCTGAAGCTTTTCTCATAGAGTAAAGGAAAGGGGGGGGGGGGGGGGTTAATTCTGCTTGAAATAATAAAACCTACATAATCTTCTTTTCTTCTAGTTTGGGTGAAAAATATTCCAGCTCTTCTGTAAAAATAAAGCTTCTAAACTCCACCAATATATAGGCAGCCTCTGCTTTCTGAATCTATGCTCATGCACTCATAGGAAACCCCACGGAGGAATTGATTGTAAATGCATGTCAGCCCACTAGGGAATTCACTTATTATGCCCCACCGTGTGCTCATCCAGCAGAAAACATTAGATTCACCTCAATTACCTGCTGATTTTTTCCCCCTAGATCTGAAAGGATTCTCCCTCCATGCAGAGTTTTACTCATTTTGCACCCGCTCGCTGCATCGATTCTATCTCTCCGCTGAGAATACGCATCAAGATTTCAATCTGATCTTTCAAATACTGAAATAACAACGTAATAAATCCTTCACAGACACTACAAAAAAAAAAAAAAACGTAAACTTTAAGGAACCGTCGAAACAGTTCCCACCCATTAGTCAAAGTGATATTTCTTCCTGCTTTGATTCCATACCTGTAACTAAATATTTTTGTACAGTATCAGTTTACTTTCCTTCTTATTTGAATGCTTTTCAGATTTACAAAGATAGGTAGTTGTAGAAATGCGTAAATGTGATTTAAATTCATTCGTATATTATTTTTTAAAATCCAACCTACCTCTGATCAGCCTCATGATGAGCTTTGTTCAAATTCATAAAAACCATGTCCCCTTGGAGGAAACTATGAGCCCATCTTAGGAAATCACTTTAAATCGCTGGGATTTTGGCATAGCTTATAAAACCCCTACAAGGTGGGCATAAATTGATACATAGTCTATATGAATCCCATTTTGTTTTATAATTAAAAGAAGTTGAATACAAAACCACAAAGGTAGAAAATAATTATTGGACCTAATAACCTGCACCGGATCAAGTTGTAATTTGGTTGCGTTCACTTTCTGAGTCAGATTGTTTCCTGGAGCAGGATCGCTGTCCTCCCTTTCTACCCCCATCTAGAGAATATGTGGTTTTGCTCTTGCAGAATGGATCGAGGACTCCGCATTGGCAGGCGCCCCACTGGCTACCTACACTGCCAACCACGAGACCTACAGGGACCCTCAAAAAGGTCCGCCTGTTCCCAACGCCATGGGACAAAAACGTAAGTTCTGTTGTATAGAAATTGACAGGCTCATTCGTTTTCTCTCTCTCTTTCCCTCTCTGTGTTACCCTGAGCAGCTTATAATGTGCCAACAAGATTCAGTTTCTACTGTCATTTTTCTGCCAGTGCCTGAGGCAGTATTTTAGTTCTCAAGATGGGGGCCAGTTATGAATTGACACAAATAGTTTCATTGATTCTTAATCAATATGTGGACTCTCTAGAGTTTTATAATGGTCTATGTTCAAATCAAATAATAGCCTGATTTTACCTGTGGTTTAGTGATGCACACACCTCCAGCTGCAGCGTGTTTCCTTCTCTTGGCTGCCAGCTCCTTTCATGCCAGCCTCCTACTAGCAGCTTGTCTAATTAGCCCAGTCATGGCTTAGAATTAACTGCCTTATTCTGAAGCTGCCTTTTTTACTCTCTCTGCCCACTCCGTCGAGGGGGACTCTTTCCTTTGTTGAGCTTTGTTTTAAAGCTCCCTGTCTCACTAGGTTTTCTCCCATCTTCCATCAGTCACTGTTATACTTTTGTCCATCTTCTTGTCTCCCTCGGGGCCCACCCATTTCTGTCTCCTTATACACCACCATCCTGATATCCTTAATATTAACCCAGACAAAGACATCATTTAAAATATCCTTTTTCCCCTGATTCTTAGTCCATTCTAACATGAATATATTAGCTCACAGTTGGGCTGCATCCCTTCTTTGATAAGAAACGCTGTTAAATAGCGCTCTTGCAAACAAATATGCCTCTGCTACAAAATATCACTAACAGAAGGACTCTGCTAACTTTTCAAATGTGAATAAAGTAATATGTTGGATCTAATCTTTTATTACATAAAGTTTGAATTATCTGCAGTCATTGTAGATTGGGAGGTTCTGTGCACATATTAACGTGTTTGGATGGTCAGAAATGGGACCTCAGGAGGACAACTGTACAAAATTTCTATTTTTTATAGTTATGTGCAACTTTTTATTTTAATCTTTTTATTTCCTTTGGTTAGAGCTATGCATGGGAAGTGCAAAATACATTTTTATTTATTTATTAATTATGGCCATTATTGACTTAAATACCATTGTTTACAACCTCTTTTTTTAACAGCAGCTCTTAAACTGGAAGTAGAACACGGTATTCTCTATCCAGTTTACTCTGCATATATTTTGTCTGTTCAGTCTTTGTATATCACCTGTAAACTGGCTACTTACTGAACACACCCATTTTATTTCCAAGGATTTTAGCACTTATTTTAAAACTTAATCATTTCTCTTTGCCAACAAGGCTGCTTTCTTAAATGTAAAAGCTACGCCTTTCATAGTTTTCCAGCTTTTGATAAAAGACTAATTTAGCTCTATAAAAGGTGGGTGGTTCCTCTTTAGTATCCGTCTAATGACCCTTTGGAAAATGTCTGGAAATATTCTTTTCAATTGTGCAGAGTCCATGTAGGGAACTCGACAAACACTTGGAAGGTCTTCTGTTAGTGATACAAACAAATATATATATATATGCTGTATATATATCTATATATATGTTGTTGTTTTTTGGCCTATATAAACAAAATATCACAGTGAAGCATGGTGATGACAGAATCATTAAACTAACAGCAAGACAAAGTAACCTCCTTCCAGTCAGCTGATTGGCAGTGAACAGCAATATGTGCTTCAATATCCCTCTGTGTTTCATATAGACAATGTTTCCCTGCTTCCTCATTAAGAGTAACCGAAACTACAGGACTGATGTGTTCAAGCATTTAAACATCTTGTGGTTGACGAGAGCAAAAAATAAAGGGCTGCTTTTTGAGATACTGTTAAAAAAATATTTTAAACATATTTAGCCCAATGAAGTTATTTGCTGAAGGACATCTTCACAATGCAGACTTGTTTTGTCACTATGTATGTTTGTATGTCATGAGTTTTCATTACTATTTGTAATATAGATCAGGCCTAAATTCGGACCCAACAGTATATAAACTAAAAAAGCATCTTGGATTCTTTCTTTCATCCCCACCTGAATGATGCCATATTTGCAATGGCAAAGAATGCTAGCTTTAACTATGATTATGTCTGGGCAATGTTGGCAACATTTCTCTAAGAATGTTGGCCAGGTTTTAGGACCGCACGCAGCTCTAGGTCCTCTAAATACAATACGGAGCTTTCTTTGATCTGATCAAATTTGTGCCCATTTGCGCGAGCTTAAGTAAAACGGAATTATCCATCTTTGTGTTCAGGTGGGAAGCCTTTCTTTACCAGGAACCGATCAGAACTGAATGGAACATTCATCAATACCAAATTGAAGAAGAGCCGTCGGGGATTTGGGTTCACAGTTGTTGGAGGAGACGAGCCAAATGAGTTCTTGCAGATAAAGAGCTTGGTTCTGGACGGACCTGCAGCCCTCGATGGCAAGATGGAGACAGGTCGGTTAATGTTTTACGTAGTGGGAATTCTAGCGTCTTGAGTTCAGTCACAAAAAAACGTCTTTCTCTCCACATCCAAGGTGATGTAATCGTGAGTGTAAACGAAACCTGTGTCCTGGGATACACGCACGCCCAAGTTGTGAAGATCTTTCAGTCCATCCCAATCGGCTCCATGGTTAACTTGGAGCTGTGCCGTGGCTACCCACTGCCTTTCGACCCTGACGACCCCAACACCAGCTTGGTAACCTCAGTGGCCATCCTCGACAACAAAGATCCCATCATCGTCAACGGCCAGGAGGTCACCAACAGCTATGACTCCCCTTCCAGCCAGGGCAGTCAGAGCACCAACAACGGCCCGACCAACGGCGGGCCACCTCTTAATGGCTTCACCCGACCTCACAGCCCCTCCACTGAGGTGGCGTCCGATACCTCCTCGCAGCTCGGCTACTCTAGCGACGTGGTGAACCTGGCTTCGGCCATCGCCACGCAACCAGAACTTATCACTGTACACATGGAGAAAGGAGACAAGGGCTTTGGCTTCACCATCGCTGACAGCCTCGGGGGTGGAGGGCAGAGGGTGAAGCAGATTGTGGACTACCCTCGCTGCCGCGGCCTCAGGGAGGGCGACATCATCGTCGAGGTGAACAAGAGGAATGTGCAGAGCATGTCTCACAACCAGGTGGTGGACATGCTCAGCAAGTTACCAAAAGGCAGCGAGGTCACCATGCTGGTGCAGAGAGGTAAGCAAAGGCCTGATCTTTCACTTTTATGCACCCGATCTGTGAGTACCTACACCACTGCTTTGCTCTATAACTCATCAGCACAGATGGAGGAGAGAACGCTAGAGTTTAAGATCTGTGGCAGACTCTGATTTATGTGCCCATATGTTGAAGCGCTGCAAAAAAACAACAAACCTTTGCCATGGAGCTGCTCGATACTATTGACGAAAATAATAGCCCTTCTGCCTTACAGGCTGTTTTCACTCACAGAGCTCCTTTATCGACACACACATTTATTTATTCATGCAAATAGATGGTGGCGAAGGGAAAAAAAGAGATTGGATTGCGAACAAGGGCAAGTAAAGCATGATGATTATGGTAAGGAGGAAAGGAAGGAGTAGCAGAGGAAGTTCAAATAACATTTGAGGGAAATGGATGATCATGAGCAGGAAGAGAGGATGGGGTGTTTATACTGAATGGCACAAACGTGATGCTGCAGAAGTCTACACACCCCTCAATGTTTTTGTTAGTATGTTTTATTTGGTATTTTGCATGTTCTTAAAATTGAGGATTGTTTAGACATGACCAACCGATCCTCTCTGAGTTCACAAAAGTCTGTGGATTCAAGAACTCTGGTTATGTGCAATTCTGAAATTAGAGTTAAAGAGTTTTATTTTAGTAGAGCCTAAAATCTTTTAGGGATACCACTCTGCTAGCTTTGCACAGCTTTTAGATAATGTTTCATCCCTTTTTTTTCTTTTTTACAAAATAGCTCTAAGCCAACATCAACAGCAGATTTCAAGTTTCTGTAGATGTTGACGAAAAACGCCATGATTTTTCTTATGTTCTGTATGTTTTAAACCTCTCTGATTAACGTTATTGCCAGCTTCAACACTGTCCTGCTTTTAATTTTATCTATGCCCCCAATCAACTGACCAACTTGAGCAGCTTTACAATTTGAAGCTGCCTTCACTTTGTCGCCATAGAAGTAGCCTTTTGATTAAGTAAGAAGGTTAGATTTTGGTCTCTTCTGGGTTGAGGACCTTATTATGCTTTTCTTCTCATCACCTTTGCATTAATATGAGGCCAGCTTTGCATAGTTTCTGACTGATGGTTGTCCTGAGGTCTGGAGACCCTGTAGCTCCTCCAGATTTACCAAGAACCACTTGATTGATCGTCTGATAAGTCCTCTGGCTTTTGGGTTTATGCTGATTGCCATAATTTGGTTGGTTTGCATTTGTGCAGTTCTCATTCAGTTTTCAGATGATGGACTGATCCACTAAGAGATTTTCAAAGTTGGGGTTTTGTTTTTATATCAAATAATGCTTTGAACTTCTTCATTGTCTTTCTGAATTCGTCAGCTGTGATCCCAGTTCTTCATGATGCCTTTTGTTCACCAGGAGATCTCTGTTGGCAGCAGTGGGGAATCACAGCCAGCCTTTTTTGCCATTAGGAAGGGAGATTATTAGCAGGTCAACCCAACCTGTGCTCAACCTGTGTTAAGCCGCTAATTTCAGTGGGAACGAGGCTAATTAGGTGAAAGAAAACTGGATAATGCAGAACAATGCATGGTGTTTGCCTGATTTATAGAATCAAACAATAAACAATAAAGATGCTTGTTTCCGTGTGACAAAATGGGGAAAAGGCAGAATATGTCTGGATTGTTTAGCAAGGCCCAGTGGCTGACCTGAAGTGGAAATGACATTGTAAGAAGAAGAAAGAATAAAACTATAACAAGGGAAGAAAGACTCAGAGATGCAGTGGTGTTTGTTTTAGGTCAGAGAGTCTAAATATCCTCACTTATTGTTCTTACTCTGTCTCAGACCAAGCTTATCTGTCCTCCCAGATGCCCTCTGCTTTATTCCTTTTTGCTGGTTGAAAACCTGTCCAGTTTAATTTAAGCTTTCAGCATGCCCATCTTGGAGCAACTGGCTTTAGAGGTGCAGTCAGTTGTGCTTTATTTTCCTTTTCTGTCCACCTACCTAAAGTCTTTGATATTTTGCCCTCAATATAAATGCTCCAACTTCTTTAGTCAGTTCTTTGGAAACTGTGCAGCAGCTTGTGAAGGATTCTGCTCAAGCTGCACCACTCATCACTTTTGTTACGGCCACTGATTGACAATCATTGTTGTGAAGGAACATTAAATGGGAACAAAGCAGCTGTGAAAAAAGGATAAAAAGTTCAAAAACTGAATTTCAGTATTTCCTTCCTGGTAACTTACAGACTTACCAGTCGGGGTTCCTATTAATGGCCCAGTTTCCTCGGTCAGATTGCCCCAAACTTTTCTTTTTAGCTCATGAGTTCAGGAAACAAAACCAGTGTTTCTATGACTTTTATTATTATTGTGCATCTGCATGTGTTATTTATATCCTTTGCAAGGGGATGTGGCTAATACTGTTTAAGGAAATTCATCAGGTGTAATATTTTAACAAGCGGCTGCCCTGTTGCTTCATGCATGCCATGTTTATTTCTAGATTACATCTTCAATTTGTTTATGCTGGGACAGTCCCGTATGAACTAGCTAATGATTGGAAAATATCAGAGTTTGATAAAAGACGTGTACGACAATGACACGGGATTGGACCAACGGTCTCAATGGCTTTTTAATAAAATAATATTCAACCCTATTTAATGTTAAACAGGAACAAGAGACGAGCAGAAACTGACAGAAAGAGTAAATGTGTTTGCTTGTTCTGTGTCAAGGAGATTAATAATAGTACAGCAAGCTGCTGACTGCACTTCTCTGGCCTCCACTGTTAAACACCATGTCCCAATGATAAAGTGTTTGGTTCCTCTGAACAAGCCGTAATGAGCATGCCATATTAACTAAAACACTTCAGAGTCTTCTTTTTTATATAGCTGTTGCACATCTGCAGTAAAAAGCATTATAATGTCATACCTCTGATGCTGGAGGAAACGTAAAGTCGAAACGTTAATTGTTATGACCATTGTGACCTCCGAGACAGCACAGACTCAGTTGATTTTGTGTTCGATTGGAAATCCGTCTAGCCTATGCTACTTTTACCTTCACCATTTGTAGAATTTGATATGACACGATGGCCGTTTCTCAGTTCATGAGGAAGCGAGTATAGACTCGTGTTCTCGCCAAGTATGTTCTTGACTAGAACACAGGAAGGTATCGACTTGGGGAGAACAGGAACACGCAGCATCAATATGGGTTAATTGGAACAGAAGCGTTCTGGTGACATCACCACATTCAAACCTTGTCTGGAGCTGCATTAATCCTCCTATTATTAATGGCAGTGTCGCGCTGATGCCATTTTTTTGGCCCCGATACTGTCTGTGCAGTAATTGGCCGATACTATACCGATACTATCTGTTTCAAATTAATGTGTGTGTGCATATATGGAGAACTACATACTACTCGGATGTATAATGATCGCCATCATGGCTTTCTCAAGCTGCTGCCTAACTGAACACTAATACAAAGTGAATCCAGTAGAACTTTTTATTTCCTACCTGGAATGGGTGACAATAGTTGAATAAACTTTTGGCTCTCAAAATGGTATCGGTGCCGCGGTGCATGCTGGGACAGCTGTCAATCTGGAGAACAGACAACAGCCTGCTCTGATGCATGCTGGGTAAAGAGCAATTGGCAAGAACAACATCCGGGGACTTTGTCCGTTCTCGGTCTTGTGAATTTGAACAGTACTAGGGCTGAAGCTGATGATGTTTCACTAGCACAAGAGAATGTACAAGTACACATAGTGAGTAACGGTCTTAAATGACACGTCTTAAAAAAACAAAAACAAACATCTATTATTAAATCAAACAAAAAATTAACAATGGATACCAAATGGAGGGAGCGGCAATGCATTTGTTTTTTTTCACCTTTTGTGATCTCAAGGAATGGCTGAATAATGAATCTGTCAACTTCTTGGACAATAACAATAGAAGAAGAAAAAAACTGCTCATATTGGCCTAAAAATCGGTTGGCGGACGTGTTAGTTTATCTCTAATAACCTTAATTCACCAACATATTTTCTAACTGGAGCTGATTATGAAGAACAATAAACAAAGGTAGCGAAAGGTTAGACTGATGCTAAGGAGGCCATCTAACCTCATAGACTTGGAAAAAATCAACACAAGATCCATTTTTAAAATGCCAGCAAAAATTTGCATTTATAAAGGGTCTGCTGATTGCTGGCTGCTTTCTTATTATTATTTTATAGAAAAGCTGAAGCTAATTTGCAGTTGAAAGAATGTTCAGTGATGTTTGTTCTTGTTTATTAAGCATCAGATAAAAACTAAGTTAGAATTTTTATTAGAAACAGCATTATGTACAACAAATAAACATATATGTGGCTGTACTTTCATTTACTTGATAGAGTTATGTAGTTGTGACAACATAATCTGTCATTTTACACTGAATGCATCAGACTGAGGCTTGATCTGTTGGTGCCATATTTCAATTTAGTCCAGACATCCCTCAGTCAGTATAAATATTAGATACCACAAGGACAGACTGTCATTTTCTATTATTACAGATTTCAAGTTAATGTGTTCATTAAACGCCTGAAAAATGAAGAGGACGTATTTGTTAAGGAGCCTCAAAGACCTGGATTTCATTGTATGTTTGTGATTATTTCTAATTCAGCCGAGCAAAGAAAGTATATCCTGCATTTAATTTATTTAGAGCTTTATTAGCTTTATTGAGATTAAAAATAATCCAACATCTGAATTACTAAGCATTACCTGTCATTCAGCATCTTCTTTCATAAATAGTAATAGACATGTTAAACAGAACATATTTCTCTATCCACATGATATCATGTATTTTAGAATTGGGTTCATATGCAGCCACACTCAGAGCCTCGCTAAAGGTCTCGTCATGCTGCTGTAATTACTCTCCTGCTTACAGTCTCTTAGCTGCTGTCTGTCTCCTGATCCATCCAGATGCAGAGCGCACTGGCTCCTAATTGGGGTCCTGATGTCAGCTTTGCTTATAAACACCTGCACGCCTTGTTTTCTGGGGTGTTCTCCACAACTCTCCCTCTCCG